ACTGGTTTAAGTTTATTTATTTTCATATCAAATGGAGTATTATTAATGATGTACTAAAATAATTCCTTTTAATTCTTTATCTCTTTCAAGAACCCTTTTTCGATTAGAGTATGTCTGATATAGGACAGGAGATCAGCTGTATAAGGAACTTCGATAAGATATATACCTTGCACCTTGCATATATTCCGCTTCTTCTGATCACGCATTCTCTGTTCATCCAAATCTATCTGGCCTCTTCTATGAAACATTAAATTAAGACTATAATGTTGCCGACCATGGAATTCGAATGCTAATTGTAGTTCTTCGTTATACCCATTGAGTTGCATTCCATCCAAAAAATTCGGCCTACATGATGGAAATTTCTTGCCTAGTAGATCCTCGAAAATATATTGTACAGTTCTTTCACTAGTATGATAACAAAGAGGACACCACTCGAATTTTTTCATAATATACTTTAATGGATACTCCCATTAATGCGCATCATCCTCACAAGACCAAAGATATGTATTATATCCATTTATTTCTCCAGTCTTTCTTAGACATCGACCAACACGTCTTTGAGTATAACCAATGGTTTGGTTTATCTCACTATTGATAGGAGAAGCATGAACGAAATTTATGGATAATATACTTTGAGGTGGATATCCAACCTTTTCTGGATCAGCTATTAATATGAGCTCTTCTCACACAAATCCGCGAGATGGTGCATATTCTCCATCAAGATAATATAAAACTGGTTCATTTTTTATTACCACAATTTTTTGAATTTTATGAATAGAGGGCGAGAAAGTCAGATCAGTTGCCCGCATTTGATTCTCCATTCCACCCTTCCATTCTGCAATAGCAAGAAGATATCGAACAGTATCACCTTTCTTTAACATTATTTCATCTTTTCCAACTGGACGCTTATATTTTGTGGATGGTCTCGATTCTACTTTTTCTAACATGATAGCCTTTATAGGTGCAAAACCCCATTTCTTAGTCCCTGGTTCTCGAATGAGACGTGTAGGATAATTATTTAGATAATCGATAACCATAGGTAAATGTCTAACCCATGCTTTTATTAATTTCGAATTGGGATATATAGATTCAACAGCATCTTGGATTTTATATAGTATTTTTGTGAGTGTCTTGTTAAAACGTTCTGCAAAATCTACTTCTCGATAAGAATATGCACCAATCACTTGAATGGTAACATTATGCTTCTTCATCAATTGAGAAGTCTTCCCCATAAATTCACGACCTTCATCACATTGTAGAAGCTCTGGCCATGCAAGTGGATTATTAGGATTATCATATTTTTTTCTGAATGCTCTAGCAACTTCTGAACTCTTCTTTGCATGAGTGGAATAGAAGCCTTATATCGGGAAGCGCAGTCTATTATATTAAGTACTGCTATATATTTTTTACGCTTATAA